TGAGTGCCACACTCAGCCTGGGACAGATAATCTGAATGCAACATCAGAGAGACAGAGACAGACTTGCTCTCTGCAGCCACTGTTGCCACTGCTCCTGCCCTTTTGCCCTTTTGCTCTTTGCCACCACCATGAAAGGTTGCCCTCTGCCATGTGCCGCTCTGCCTTGGAGCCAGCTGAGTACAGATTGAAACCTCCAGTAACTGTGAGCTAAATAAACCTTTCCTTCCTTCATATTATTTGTCCCAGCAATGAGAGAAGAGTAACTAAGACAGAGGCCAACTCCTTGGAAGAGGAGTCTATAAATGCTAAATGAATTTCTTCAGTTACTTTTATGTTTGCACTTTTTTTCCTCTGAATTTTACCCCTAACCATTCCTGTAAACCTATTCCCATTAAATGTACCCATGTACTCCCAACTGAAAGGTCTGATCCACGCTTTTCAGTGTTTCTCATGCTTATTTCTTAGGCCTCAAAGACATGACTGCCCTGCTTGCTTTTGTCTTTTCAGTTATTCTTGTTTTTTTTTTTTTTTTTTTTTTTTTTTTTGCGGAACCGGGGCTTGAATTCAGACCCTTGCACTTGCCAGGGAAGCGCTTATTCTATTGAGCCATCTTCCCGGCCCCTTCATTTATTCTTTAGATCTAATGTTTACATTTCATGTTTTCTTGAGGTTTTAGCCTTAATCTTTACCTTCTGCCAGAGAATCAGTTCAGTACAGAAATATGTTTATAGGTTCCCACTAGACCCATAGTTACACCGCTGTGCTGTAATGATGCATTTCCTTGGCATTTCTCTGTCCAGTTCTTCTGTCTGGAATGTTCTGGCTCCTCAGGACCACATGGCAGGTTTTCCTTTTCACCTCCCTTGACTCTCTGTGCGCAGTTATTTGACTGGTCTACTAATTCATTCACTCTCTGGGAGGACAATGTCTAGGGTGCTGGCTACTGTGCAGGCCCCAGACAAGATGCTGCTGGTAGCTGCCACTTACATGGATTCACTGGGCGCCGCTCTGAGCAGCTGACATAAAGTAACAGCTGAAAATCATCATGCCACGGGGCGTCCTTATGATTAGCCCCACTTTAGAGGAGACTGAATCCAGGGGGCAGAGGTACTCTTAACCCATCCACTAGGGGGCCTCTTGCACACATTGGGTAAGACACGGTTGTGGTTTTCTCCACTCCTTTTTCCAAGAGCGGAGCACATGTTTGCCACTGCATTTACTGTAATGACTTTCAGCTGTCTGATGACTTCTCCACCAGGTTTCGAGCTCTCTGAGGGCAAACATTTTACCTTGGCTGTTCCTGGAAACTGCTGCACTAGCAGAATGCCCGGTGTGCTCACAGTGAGAGTGACTGGACTTTTACCTAATCCTAGAAGAGTGACACTGTTTATCTGTAAGGAATTATAAACAATAGCTTCCTACCCTTTCTCCCTCTGGTGACAGCATGGCCAGAATATCATTTGTATAAACCTTTTCTGGCTCTGCATCCATGCCAGCGATTTTTCCTTCAGTGGGAGGCATGAGAGCAAATTCCAGCCTTGAAATGGAGTCGAAGCACTTCCTCAAGTGCGGCTGCACAGCTTGCGGATTTCGGGTCTGCGCCAGAATCTCCAGAAGCTCATCGTTTGACAAGAAGTAAAACCTGGATTAAAAAGAATCCTTAAAATATAGCTTGTGATGGAGAGTAAGCCTCAGAGAGCTGTAAAATAAATCCTTTAGCCACTCTGCTCTCATCCACTGATTTCTTTTTTTTTCTTTAAAACAAAATGATAGGAAATCTACAGTGACTATCATACTCCATATTGTTATCTTTAAAGTTGTTCACATTACCAGATATAAGTACATGAAATTGGTTACCATTTTTTTT